CATAATAGTTGCTATTGTAAATTATACTTTTGTATATATGTATTACAAGGTATTTGTGTCAAAAACAAAAACGGCGCGAATCAATCTTGTGAGCAACTAGCGTAATTTAAATAAAATATCGGCATATTTCTAAACACTAAATCCAGGGTACAATTTCAAATTCTCAAAACAGTTCACTCACTCAATTCATTAGATACATTGTTGATAGATAGCTGGCAATGTGTTTGTAATAAAAATAAAGTTTCAATTAAGATTTATTCCTAACTTATGTTTTTCACTTCTTCAGCTTAAGTTTTAAAAATTCCAAATGCATAAACATGGTTCAACCTGCTTAACTATTACAACTAGGTTTAACCAATCTCCAAGCAATTCTTTCATCATAAAACGTTTTATTTTTCAAAAATAATTACAAAATGAGCTAAAATGCTATAAACAATTCTTGGCACATACGTTTTACTCTTCATTTCATTTTGATGGCTTTTTGCACCTCATGAAATGGCAGTATAAACAACTGTAAAACCATTTTCATAATGATATAACAGCTACTTTTTTTTATATAAATATTGCTTTAATAAGCATGTAAGGAACATTGCTGGGTTGGTAAAACTTATTTTTTCAAATATTTCAAACTAAACCATTTGATGCAAGTTATCTTTACTTACTGAAAGTTTCCCTTAGAGGAGAGGCATTCAACATCTTGAAATCTGTCAAGTATTACAGTAAATCTAACTAACATGTTGTACGAATTAGATTTTTCTCTCATTCTCACAATACTTGGAACAGTTTTTATGTATACATTAAGAAAAAGACAGTTCTGACTATGAAAGACATGTAGTTTCATCAATGATATTTACTCTCTACTTCCCTGTAAATGTAAGTACTGAAATTCAATTAATGTAACAGAATAAATTTGAACATTCAAATATTCAAGATTACTTCAATAGTCACAGTAGAATAACAGAAGTGCGATATTAAAAATAACAATTTTTAATGAAGTGCATAAAGAATTTTCATATGTATTAAGGCTTACTTAAAAACTTGAATATTGTCATTAATAGTGCTTCATACAAAATGATATGTAGTTTATAGAACAGAGGTCAATGTATAACCCAATTTTTAATGAAGTGCATAAAGAATTTTCATATGTATTAAGGCTTACTTAAAAACTTGAATATTGTCATTAATAGTGCTTCATACAAAATGATATGTAGTTTATAGAACAGAGGTCAATGTATAACCCAAAAAATTATAAACTTAAAATTCATAGACCACATTTTGTCAAAAAATTCTAATAAACATGTTTTGTACTTTTTTACCATTTTTCTGAAATATTCAACCTTAATGCATTCAATTTCAAAATACACTTATGAATAATACAGAAGTATTAAAATGCAAGTTTACAAGTCTTTTGATTTTTATTCATATGTTTAACTTTTGAAGAATCTAAACTTATTTTAATATAACTAAAATTTTGTATCAGAAAAAAAATAATACTGTGACATAGATAAGTTTTATTTTACAGAATGCAACATAATTGTTAACAACTTATAATTCAGTAAAAAAATATTACCTCTGAAATACAAACTAATGTAACTAAGATAATCTTTACCAGAATAGCAGTAATTCAAAAATTTTAACATAACACCACAATTTGAGACTGGTATTATCTTTCTTTTGTAACTGAAATATGAAAATTTGACAATTTACTTTTTTTTCTACTAAAAAAATAAGTATATAATGACATTTTTTTAACAGATGGTCTTTTCATAATTCAATTATCTTCAAGTAAACACAACTTGCCACTCATGATAATAGTGTATCACTGCAACTTATGGATTTCTCTTGTGTTACTAATTTAGTAACACATTTCTTTCTTAAACCATAAATATATTTTGCTTCCACTCAACTTCTATGACAAAAGAAGTTTACTGTCCATTATGTTACATAACAGTACCATAATAATTTTGACACAGAGAAAGGGCTCAAAAAATTTAATATTAGAGACTGCTAAAGATATACTTAAGGTCACTTATCAGGGAAATGGAGAAAACTTTTCTAGATTAATCTACATTCCTATTGCTCAATAGTATTAACTTACCGAGAAGATAAATTTAATCTTCTATTCACAAAATATACTTGATATAAAGTGTTTTACCATTGTCACAGTTCTTCAAAACTGCTGCTTTCTCTCTGTTCATTTAGCATGTGCATAATGATGAAGATAGCAAAACATTAAGATATTTAAACTTCAAAGTTTATTAGATTTTATTTTCAATCCATTAACAAACAATATTTTTGTTTAAGAATGATAACTGAACTTTACAGAACACAACATTTTCTTCTCTAATAGTAATAAGTTAAGTCACACATACTCTTCACCAGGCTTAGAATGTCCTGAGGAAGTATTGACTGTATCTGGAAGCTCAGCTATGTCTTTAAATACACCAACTAGGTTTTGAAAGTTTGGTCCCCAGTTAAGGAGGTAATCCCATCCCAACATAGAACCATGTGTGGGTTTGTAAGATGAGAGATTTGAAAAGTCATCATCTGAAGCTACCAATGTGCTCAAAGAACCCCTGAATGAATCAAAACCATCATAGGCTTTGGCAGAGTCCTCCTCATTTTCATTGTCTTCTTCAGCAAGCTTGGAGAAAATCATATTCCCTGGTTCAAAGTCCCGATGCACTTTGTCATAGTTGTTGTCATATTCAAACTCTGAGCATGTGAAAGAGTCATTACCACTCTCATCAGTGGTGGAATCGGGAGCTTCCATGAGTTCTGTGTTAGTTTCTAAAAGTTCTGCTAGTTTATTTTTCTCAGTATTTCCATCACTTGAGGAGGAGACAGCATCCAAAGTGCTAACCAAACTGGAGTTTCTAGGCCGAGCATTGAGCCTTTCTATTTCTTCTGCTGTTAAACCTAATGTAATTCCAGAATCCCTTGCTTTCTTTTTATTTCCTGATTGTGAACGAGAATGTAAACTAATGGTACTATTACTTAGGTTACTAACAGGACTATTGAGACTTCTCTCTGAATTGGTAATTGGATCTTTAAATTCTTTAGACCCCACACCTTGGGAGGTGCCAAGCAGAGCAGTCTGTAAAGGCTTCCCACTTATGTCCTGAAGGGTTAGGATGCGTGGAGTCTGATGAGATAATTCACTTGATGGACTCAGACGAGCAAGAGGGGTGTTTTGCATTTTAAGAGCAGATGGACTTTCTCTGGGTGCAACAGAATTTGAGTTTTGCTGAAGCACACTACAAGGACTTTCTCGAATAGGACTAGGTTGAAACTGGTGAGGACTGTGTCTATGGTTATGTTTGTGATAGTTTGGAATGTGTGGATTAGTTTTGTACTTTCGCACATTTCCATCACGGAATCCTTTATAATGATAAACAATATCTATATCAGAAGGAGCAATGCTACTGGCATTTTCCAAGTCATAATGTTCAGGAATTTCTGAACCATTTATATCATGCATTCCAAACCCATTGGAAGGCTTAGAAGCATCCTGAAGTGATAACTCATCTGTTCTCTGCATAGATATACTAGAAGGCTTGTGTATAACTTCTCTTTCAATTATGTCTGGTCGCTGAGATCGGTCATTTGGCACTTCTCGATCTTTCATTTTCTTTGGCACTAAATCCTGTGGTAATTGACTTCTTTGAATATCATCCCCTTGAACAGGATCATTATAACCTGGGTCTTGATAATTCCTTTGATTCTCACAACTGGCACTGGCCAGAAATGCATTACCATTTGGTTTTATATGATTATGAGTTTTTCCTCGACGTAATTTTCTTCTTCGGAAGACAAGAAAACTGATCATGATAACAAGTATAAGGATAATAAAAAACACTATAACAAGTATTACGCCAATACTAAGAGGGTCAGTTGGGGCCACATCTAACCCTAATACCTCTTCACTACAGCCTGTATGAACATTTCCATGAGGCATCATCTTAAAAAAACCTCCACTTAAGTTGAATCCTTGGACTTTTTCATCAACAGTTAATGAATGTATGCATCCTTGAAAGCCTATAAAATGGAGATTAAAATAAAAATATCATGAAAAAACTTCCAAAATTACAACATAACTGTAACTATGTACTATGTAACGTATTAACAAAATTATTCCTGAAATATTATAAAAGGTGGATAAATTACAAAATAATTTAGACTTGTTTAAAACACTGATTGTTTTATGGTTCCACTCTGATCATACACACAAAAAAAAGAACAATGAGTACCTGAAAGCAATAAAGCAAAAAATGCATTAAACTAAAAAAAACAGAAAATTTAGAAATAATTTCAAGAAAACAAAAATTTAAAGTACATCTAGAGAAAAACTAGTTAATACAAATCCAAATGACTAGGGAATATGTAACTATTACTTATGTCTATTTGAAATGAAAGAGTAATACATCAACTCATACACTAATTCCAAAATAACTGATATTAAAATAAGTGAATAATATTTTATTAATCCTTATTCTACTTCTGCTTTGCAAATAATTTAAATAAAATTGATGAAAATTACACTTAATATAGTTCACACCATAACAACTGTTGTGAATTAGATTTGATTATATTAATAGCAACTTAACCACCACTATGTCTGTTGTATCCCAACCAGACTGATGAGCCCTGGTATTGAGTGAAAATACTCATCAGCACTGGATATTAGCAGATATAGTGTGGCTGACATACTGTTATACTTTCTTCTTTACTTTCACTCATAAGTTCATATAATTTCAGAAACTGCTAACCACATTTTAACAGTTATCAATAAACAAGTTAAAAATCTTCTTAAGCTATTTGAAACACACTGGGTTAAACATAAAAATAAAACAGGAGAGAAGGGGTTACCAGGAATAGAATTGTCCCTTTGATCTATGACTTGATTCCAGTGTCCACCAATAGTCATTGTAGTCAAGAATGGATCAAGGAAATCATGAATTTGACTCTCTATATCAGTTGACTGCCATTCTCCATCTAATGTGATATTGATTTTGCCTGCTCTAATTATTAGAGTTAGTGTGTGCCATGAACCGTCTGCTACGTTTATATTATCCACTGATAAAGTGACAGGATTTCCATTCTTTAAATGAGACCCATACCTCAAAAGTCCATCTCTTATCTGGAATATTAAAAAAAATCAAATAATTATCATATTAGTAATTATAAACCTCAAAATTGGCAATGAAATACATACACTAAAGAAAACTAAAATTATTCTTTACAATAACAAAACCTTATTACAGATGTTAACATTTTCCTACTCTGATACTCACCTCCCTCATGTGTCTGCTTATAAGATTTGTATGCCTCTAGCCTTGAGCTAACTCTCACCTAAATTCACGTGTTTAACATGAACTACACTGGTGCATGATGACAACATGCTGCAATAGTCCTCCATCTGTCCCCCAAGTGGAAGTGGGGAGGACAGGTGGGAGTATGTGTGGAGGTATCTATTAGAAATACATTTTGAGATTAGAAAAATTTTAACTTTTAAAATGATAACTCATCTCTCACACAGAAATGCTAGAATCTCACATTGAAGTGATGTAGGGCTGGTGCAAAAATTAAACCTAGATTACCTCCCTTCAGAAAGTGCCCAAAGGAAAAGTCAATGGAGTGTGACACCTGATGGCAGGGGCTCCATAGGGGCACACCTGTGGGAGACCACATCTAATCTCAACCAGTTTATACTCATTTCTCTGGAAAGAAGAAAAGAGAAATTCAAAATAGCCTGAAATGTTCAGGGATTGGCAGAATGTGATCCTGACCAACTGAGCACCTGAACACAAGTGGTCAGTAAGCCAATTTGTGTAGTGTGGTTAGGGCATGATCAAGACTACATGGTTTATACTTACCTCTACTGAATAGACTGACTGCATAAAAAGGGCACATTTGTTGTGTGTGAAAGGTGATTTGCACTACAATGACAGTATCATCACCACCACCCTACTTCTCACCATATTGTGCTAAGCTCAACTGCTGAGGACCATCCATAGTCCACCATCTCAGAAGCTAGGAACTGGTAAATGGAAAGGGTCTCCCATGCTCCACTTGAATAAGAGGTAGGAGAATTTCGGTAAACTCAGGGAAGTGCCCAGATCCACATCTAACCAAGAGCCAAAAAAGGTCTTTCACTGAAGACAGTGTAATGGGTGACCATGAAATTCTCTTCTTAAACACAGGCAAACACATACCAAAGAAGTTAGCAGTCACTTCCTTGATGCTAGCTTTTTCCATGATAGTCCATGAAATTGGTATGGTCTGAATTAGGCGTTTGAGTAAAAATGTTCACCATGAGGACACCCCATCTCACAGTGGCAATGGTAGAGCCAGAGCAGATGGGTTGAGCACTTTCTGTTACCCTAGCCCTAATACAGATTTTGAGAAATAAGCATACCTTAGGAGGCAACACCAACAACCTGATGCAATCCAGTTTGATGGAAGGGAGAGAAAAGGAATAAGAAACCATACTTACTCATCTCTAAGACAGTGAATGAAGAATAGTAACTGAGGAAGCTGAAATCCTGCAGGAGACAAAACAGCCAGATGAAGAAAATAATGAGTGATGAACATGTGAGGAGTCACCCACATGCCTACCTGGCGGACCTCATCCAAGGGCAGGCAAAGACAGAAAGCAAGGAAGTGAAACACATGATGAATCTGATGTAAAGAGATGAGAAAAAGCACACAAACATCCATATCCAAGATAAGAATATACCAACTGGAGCAGTTTATGGACCCATCCAGTAAGGGTAGAAGGAAAGAGGTCCCTGGAAAAAGAAGGAACCCAGGGTAGGAACAAACAATGTCAGGGATTGCAGAATGGAGAAGTCTGTGGCAAGTAACAAACAGTCTGAACAGGACATAGGAGCCAATATGGGTCAGAACAATCATAGAGGTGAGAGATAGGAGAGAAAATATGATTACCATCCTGAGCAGCAGAAGTCTTATGAAGGAAAGACTGATCTGTGTAGAGGAGTACATAAGGTCAGGAGAAGAGGATGAGAAAAGTAGCTATAACATAGATACCTGAATGACGGCGACCACAGGTGAGAAAGAGGAAAGAAATCTTGAGATAAAGGTGATGTGAGAGTGTGCAAAACCACATTAGGGTTCCAGTCAGGCATGGGAGACAGGTAAGGAGGATGGTGAAGGAGGAAGGAGTGGAATAGAGTGGATAGAACAGGGTAAGAAAATACCTCGTGGTACTAGGAAAGACAGAATGTAAAGTATAATGCTGCCTGATAACCAAAAATGGTAGAGACTGACAAAACATGGTCAAACAGCTAAGAAAAAAAGGTAGAAAGGTGGTTCACAGTAGGATGGCTGGGAGGAAAGGAGTGGCAGATGGACCAATTATAAAAAACCTGCCATATTCATTTATAGACAAAGTGGAATGTTAACAAGTATGGGACAAGAAAAAAGATGCACAATTGGAGAGTCTGGCCCAAAAGGCAATCGACTGGGCAAATCCCACATATGAAGATTGAAGGATAATATCCCTGGATCAAAACGGGATTTATGAGGCTGAAACAACATTAAACAATGGTAGAGAGCACTTGGATGCAAATGAAGAAGTAGAAGAAACCAAGGTTGAGCCAGTCAAAGAGGACTTAACAAGGAGTATCATGTATCAAAGTAAGAATCTGAGGAAGAAGTTAAAGAAGAGGATAGGCATATACGAAAAGGTGAGACCAGTCCTAGCTGAGAGCATTGATAGCCAGAGCTAAAGGATGAGTCCAGAAGAGAGGAACCTTAGAATTGAGCAAAGGCATCTATGAGAAGCATGACCAACAAAAAGAAAGCCCAACAAAAGATCTTGGAGTGGAGAAACAACTTTTTGGGTAAAATGCAGTTTGGCCAAGAGAGGCAGATTACAACAATGCTCATAGCCCCCAGCACGACAAGAATGAGAAGGATTTGATAAAAGAGGAGGTCCAATTCTGAAAAGCAGAGTCCTGGAACAGATGCTCCTAGATGACTGAAATAGGAAATGACCATGGAATTGTCAGAGTGAATCATTACATAATGATCCACCAGAAGAAGTAGGAAATGGGAACATGTTCAAGAAGCAGCAAGAAGTTCAAGCATGATGATGTGTAGTGAACTCTCCTCCTGGGTTCAAATGACATAAGTCATGTTATGATTCAGAAATATGCCCCAACCCGAGAGAGAGAGGCACCTAAAGAGAAGGAGATCCAGTCTGAAAGGTGGTAAAGGAACATCAAATGTAGTATTGCCACAAACTAGCCACCATGATAAGTCCCCAAGTAGAGGGTAGGTTTACAATGGAGCCAAAGAAAGAATTCACTGCTCTCACAAGGTCCATTGGAGGAAGTGTATGTGTGCATGCCCCAAAGGAATGAGGGGCTCTAAGGAAATCGGAGTCCCCAAAATCAAAAGAACTTCTCGTGTAGGATGAGCACATGAAGTGCAAATCTTGAGGACCAGACATTCCATGACGTGCAGGTAAGAGGAGAAAGCCCTGTTATCGTGCATGTGTGAGAAAGAACTTGGATATTTGAATATGTATAGGGCTGATGCTATGTCAAAGGGAACGATGTGGATAGAATTCCAATAGATGAAACATAAAAAATGTCTGGGTGGAAGGGCAATCAGGATGTGTGAGAAGGTGTACGACACATCATCCTTGGTCATCTACAAACTGGATGAAAAAGATCACCAGACAGAAAAAAATTCTTCAACCAAAATGGTGGAACAAGATTGGTTGCAAGACAATAGGTCAATCATCAGACACTAGTCTCTGGTCTTCTTGGGGACCACAAAGAGGCAAAAGGAAAAACCTGGAGAAGGGGTGTACACCCTCTTGATGGCATGTTTGGCCAAAAGATCCAATACCACATACTGTTGATAGTGAAGATAGACATGGTTGGTGGAGGAGAAAAAGAAAATTAGAAGAGAAGAGAAATGGAGAGAGGGAGTGTGAGAGAGAGAAAAACGTGAAACTCATCTATCAGTAGAAAACTGAGACAGACAGCTAAATTATGAGAGTGAGACAGGTGCCCACTGGGCCCAACTTGATAGGATATTCATCGACAGGAAGAGTGACGAACCAGCTGTCAGGCAGCAGGGAGATGAGGAAAAAAGGAAGGCCTAGAAGCTGAAATGGGAAGGGCAGACTGAGCTCATCAACGGACAGGAGTTAAGGGGCGAAGTTGAGAAAAACGAAAAATGTGGGAAAAGAATGTGGACTGAAGTCATGCAACTTCAGTCCATGTCTCCAGTGAAACAAAAAACTACTAGAGATTTCCAGGTGAAGAAAGAGAGCCCAATGAAGACCATTGTACACAAGAAGAAGGAAGGTGTACACAGCATGGTCACAAGTAAATAAACACCACCTTTTCAGAAACAATTAAATTTTTCAATCATATTCACATGAATTGATATA